TAGGTATTTAAATTTAAAATTAACTAAATTGTAGCGTTAAAATGTTAAATGATATTTTGTCTTAAATTAAATACCTTATTCAATTATACATTATATCAAATTTAATACATGTATTAAAAAAAATGTTATATGTTATGTTTTACACACTATACAGAGTAACAATTTATAGTGTTTATAGTATGTAGACATATCAATAATKGAAAGTTAAATTTAAAAAAATTACAAATTTTTAACAATATTATATACAAAAAAAATTCAAATAGGAATCTAATAGGTATGTATTAACAAAAGCTTATGCAATGGATTAATAACATCTGACAAAAAAATAATTACTATTTTGAAATTTGGCACGCATAACCATGTAGGCAATATTAACTTAATAATCACAAAGAAAGCGGAATGAGTTATGAAGAATACAGCAGAAGAAAATCACAATTTAGAATCTCGAAATTGTAACTCAATTAATTGCTCGTAGCAAAAATGTATTCCAAGCAATAAAGTAATCACAAAAAAAAAGATGTTACAGGCTCTGCAGTGTAACCAGACTACTAGATGCTCAGTGCCTTACTATGCCTTACTATGTATTTGAGWGCTCCATTAATAGACATGCAATTTTAAAACATGCACTTACTGATATTTTTGTAGCATGTGAATTAGCCCCACTAGTWATAGTTTTGTCCACCTTATTCTAAAAGTTAATTGTAATAACAGAATTAATTACAAGTCTTAACTTTAATATTAATTTATAAAATATTACAATGATGTATTAGAAATGGCAATATAAAAAATTAATTTAATATGTATATAGGGTAATTCACCAAGCATGCTCACCTCCTTTTTTCTTTAATAATGCAGTTATTCAAAATTTGATTTTTGGAATTTTTAAATATACTCTAAGACCATATTTTCAAATTCTAGAGATTTTTTGTACCACTTAAAGAGTGCCTTATGGCGATATAAACTTCTTTTTTTTCAAATGAGAACCCCCCCCCTTTCTTTAATCTAAATTATTTAGTGGATAATTTTTTGAGAATTTTGAATTATTGAAATTAAAATTCTAATAAGTAATTTTATAGTTATTTAACAGTGTTCCAAGGATAAAAGGTCCATGGTTTAGGCTTATAGTAGATTTGGAAATATTAGTCATGACTCATGAATATTAATCTATCAACATAAATATTTTGTAAAAATGACCCAATTATCATAAATAAAGTTCTGATAGTACATGTATTTTATACTTTTGTAAAATAATTTTAAAGGACTATTATCTATAGTACAAACAATTTAATAACTAAGAAACTATTCATTCAAATTTTAAATTAAGTACATCAACATTTAAAAAAAAATTATCTACTAAATAATTTATACAGTAAAAAAGATGGGTTCTCATTTAAAAAACAGAAGTTTGAAATGCCAAAGGGCATTCCTTTAAGTAGTACAAAAATTCTTAAGAATTTGAAAATATGGTCTTTGGGTATATTTAAAGATTCCAAAAATCAGATTTGAATAACTGCATTAAAGAAAAAAAGTGGGTGAGCATGTATGAGTGATGCATGAATCACCCAGTATATGACAATAGAATAAACATTAATATTTTAAAACAGCCAATTTAACATTTAAGTTCAAAAAGCATGATTTCAATACACAATTAAGGTTTTTATCAGTAGGATCTTCCAGTAAAGATAATCATAATAACTGTAACCAAAAATTATCCACCAATAAAATATTGATTAAAAATATAGTATGTAAAACAATATCCCAATATTAAAGAAATAGAATGAAAAAATCAATGCATTATAAGCGATTGGGTATAATATACAGTTATAATAGACAAATAGGTAGATGTGTTATATTAAGCAGAATATTAAAAAAAAAAACAGTTACCTTCGATAGTTTTTCATAATACACACGTTCTGCATCGGCATATTTTGATTTATCGAGCCATACTTTTTCTTGAGCTAAAATCTCCAACGACATTTTATCTAAAAAAATAGTCAAGTTTATAARAAACATAACTGATGCAATAAAGTAAATATTTAAATAATTTATCATGTAATGGAGTTTATTTCTATAAAAAGATATCTTTTACCATTATAGCCGTGTTCAGATCTAAATATCAATTGGTGCCTTAAGTATTTTTAGGCCCTCTTCCTTATTTAGGCACAGTCCTAACATGGATATTTAAGTGAGTAAATTATTATGATTTATGAATGTGTAAGTATYAATTTAATTTCTTTAGATAAATGTATACTAATATATAATAATAATAATAAATACAAAAAAGTATGACATATGGCTAYTACTTAAATTATTGTTAATTAGTTTATTAGCAAATTAAAATAAATATTTGAAGCTATTTTTTATTTGTAAATAGTAAAATTAATAATTCCAATTATTAATTTTGACCATTTCGAGTCACAAAGTCCCAAATTATCTCAACAATGGTCTGTACTCTGAACCTGCCAATAAAAAATGTTGAATGTTATATTATGTATTAACAAGGAACAATTTTATCATTAACAGTATTGTTGTACAGTAATACTGCATAATATTCTCAGTCTGAATAATACAAAACATACCAAATTGTATATTCAGAAAAAAATTTTACTCAGTAATTTTTAGTATAAGAGTGAATACTGAAGTTACTTATTATAAAAMTTGTACATACCTAAGAACATAATTCAAGGTCTACCAAATAAAGAATTTTTAAGATAAATTCATTTTTAATAAGTAATAACGATTTTAAAATTGTTATTATGTAGTTACTATTATTATTATATATACAGTAGAAGCCGATTATTAGAAACATAGATAATTGATACAATCGCGTAATTGAAACAAAATGTACCAGTATAGACCAACTGTATATTAGAACATTGAGAATAAATCAAATTATTGAAACATCACATCAGTTATTTGAAATTGGACAATTGGTCAGTTAACATATTATACACCGGCTATCCATGTAATAACCAATTTTGAGCAGCATTATTCAAATAAAAATATGGTCATGGGAGTACTTGACGCAAAAAAACAAACTTTGATCGACAGATATTTTAAA